CATTTTCACCGCCGAAGCAACCGCTATATTCCACGCTGTTCAATACTCTGCCAAAACCAAGGGTAAACATATAATATGCACCGATAGTATGTCATGTTTCCAAGCTATACAAAACCACAACAAATCGGGCAGTATCATCAAAAATATAAAAAAACACACTTGTTTCCTTTCCGGGCAAGATCAAGATTATGTGGATACCTGGACACTCCGGCATAAAGGGCAACACACTTGCAGATACCATCGCCAAAGATATTTCCATCACACCAACAATCACATCCGAAGTCATCCTACCCAGCGACATATACCGACTAATTCATAGTCAGAGGCAAACAAAGTTATTACGTGAATGGGCGGATTATAATCACCATTATTCGGACATTAACCCCAACCGAACAAAACCTGTATACACAACATCGATACCTACCACCCACATCACCCCCTACACACGCCTCCGAATTGGGCACACCATAATTACCAACGCTCACTTATTACAGGGACAAAGACAAAGACTTCATCATTTCGACAAGGACCCTCTCCTATTGTTAATGGACGCCACAGAAGAAAATATTAGCAGAATTTACAAAAATCTAAAGGGCACAGACCTACTCCGTCGTATCTGACTCAACCAGCCAGCTAAAGCCTCTGCTGCTAGCGCTGCGTTTGCTTTAGTTTAGATAATAATTAATTATTATGTAAGCTTTGTATAAATAAATAAAATAAATAAAAAATATACAAAAGCGTTATGGTGAAGTGTTAGTAAGTGAAAAGTGCATAATATAAGAGAAAAATTTATTTACAATATACAAATTATCAATCTAAAAGTTGTCAATTATTTAACTTTAAATGCAAATATCTTTAAAACTATAAGTCAGCGACAACTATATATATATATATATTTTAGGAATCTGGAAAACGACACATTTCCAGTGGTACCCATTTTGTCCGCGACATCCGGGGATGCTATTCTAAATCCCAGCCCATTAAAGTAATTAAAAAACTGTAGATAAAAGGTAACTTTTAGTAAGCAAAAACGTACAAACCATCATCAGCAATATGCTAATATAATGTGCTGTAAATATTTTAAACACTTATTTTTCGCCACAAACGTAAACACAAAAAAAACAAAAAATTGCAGACTACTCATATTACAACAAAATTTCTTTCTTTCATGAAGATGAGATAATTATTTGTATATTAAAACGGTGAGCAGTGGAAGATAATAGATCTTGAAGACACATTATCCGTGCGACTCTGTACTGTAATACAGTCTCAAGTCTCTAAATTTGAGATTTTAAGTTAGAGACAATTTTTGAGACTTGGAATGATTTTACTATTCTGTAAACGRCAGTCACAAAATCTATTACATTTCATTATTCAGAGATGTTTTTATACTTGTATATATAAATATGTCGATAACAAATATTAAATTTTCTATAACATAGTCAAAAAACATAATTATCAATCAAAAAAAATATATATATGTTGACTTCGTTTCATAATAATAACGAAATTTATATAAAATTGATTTATTTTTAACCCTTTCGTGTTTGGAGTTGCTTACAAACTATAAAAAAAAACGACAATCGATTAATATCTATGGTGATCTCTATTCAGTATATTCAAAATGGCAGACAAGAGTTCTTTTTGGTTTTGTGACCCACTAACAGGTCTCAAATTTGAGGCAATATTTTGAGACTAACGCTAGAGACTATTTAGTGAATAGTAACTAGTTACATATTGAGATTTTACCTCAAAACGTCTCAAATAGAGACTAGTTACAGAATCCCGCTATATATTTCAAACTATACACATTATATTTCAAACTATACACACTCGTACATATCTATCCACATCACCATGTATGAATATGAATCAAACTTTCCTTATCTCATTATACCACGACAACCTTCATGATCTAAGCAAATCCTCAGGTTTAAAAAAATACAAATAAATGATTTATCAACACTGAAACCAAAAGTTTTGATATCGAAATTAATATCTTAAAATGTGTTAAACTAACCTGCCGAAGCCATTACGTTGAAAACCTTTCTTGAACAATTCGTACAAACACTTGTAAAATTAAAAATTTAATTAAAAGTTGCCACAGCTTTAGATGTTAACGCGGTAACTCTACTTAGCGCGTAACGGCGCATCTCGACAGGCAATTAAAGGTAGCTTACAACATCGGTGGTCAGCAATATTRCTATTAGAAATTATATATGCTAATATTTAGCAATTGCTGTTTAAATATATATCAAGTAATTCATTACTGAAAATTAACTGTCATCTTGGTAGTTTAACCAGAGAATATAAAACATTGAGAATGTATAGGTTCGAAAACGAACATTTGTAAAATTTGAACCGCAGAACTCAACTCACAACCATACAATTCACCCTGTGAAATATTAACCTTGTTTTGATTTTAGCAGAAGGGAATCTGTAGTATTACAGGTTTGTTAACATGATCATCCAAGGAATATAGTAGACCAACCGAAGGAGGAATATATTTACGCCTKGCAATTTCTAAATACCTTACATTCTTAAATTTTTTTAATTTTTGTATTTTTTATAAACTTATCTATGAGTTAAAATTAGTAGTTGAAAAGTACATTGATATGCATATTTATTTCCTTATAACAACAGCAACTTATCAAGCACAGAATTGATGCCGGCATCAGAGAGCTGCAACGAGTATGATAAAATCAGAACAAATAGTCGTGCCAAAAAAACAATGAAATCAATTCAGTTCAGTATAGGCAACATTGTTAATCAATTCGAAGTAGCTGCCAGAGTCAACTGATCTGATGCAACACGAACAATCTGTTCTTCGGCAATCACGATCGAGTAAACRGTCTGGCTGTCTTCGGTTCCAATCGTATCATGACAGTTCATAGCGTTGCGAGGATTGTTTGAATTGATGTGAAACTTTGTGGAAACTATAAGTAAAGCGTTAAACACGTAGAATCGTGGTCCGTGTCAGCTGATACGACCTATCTTATGGGCGCGCAATATAATTGAACAGTGAAAAACGCTACTCCCTTCTCTCTTTGCCGTGGGATGTCGTGAGAATCCACGGCATTTTGGTTTTTGCCGTAGAAACGTGTCAGCTGATTGCTCTCTCAGAACGCAGGATTTCCAATCTCGATATACTGTAGTAATTATAAAAGTTGTGTTCAATATGTTTGAAATTTTTTAAAATAACTCAAAATCAGAGTCGACTGCAATTATTTATAAATATATAAACTATTTTTAATACTTTGTCGTCAGTTTTGATATTTTATATTATGAAAATTTTTTATTGAAATATTAGATGGTACATAATTGAGCAATGGCAACATTGAAGTGAGAGAGCAATTGCTAAGCGTCAAAACCTCCTGAACTTTGACAGCTAATCGAGTCCAGGAGGTTTTGACGTTTAGCAATTGGAAAAGAGGGACGACCAGATTAAAATCCCGCCAAATTATTATTCGAATGGAGAAATTTTTCCGTTTTTTGTCTCCATTTGTAACAGCCATTAGTTCGAAGAATAGCGGAAGCGAAACAGCACGTAGATTGGAAGATGTGAGTATATTTTAACTTTAATTAAATAAATTTCCATTTATTTAATACTTTTTTATTTTATTTTACAGACAAAATGCCGAAAAACAACCCGCAGGTGGAGGAAATGTATTGTTGGTGTTTTTTAAAAAAAATCGTACTTTAAAATATTCATTAAATATCCACTTTTTGCACTATTATTATTGTTCAAGATTTAAGTTCGGTCGAATGCAGGCCTGCGCATAATTAGTCAGGACACAAACCAATACCAGTCAGCTGATTGCTGAATGATCACTATGATTAGCGGACACAAGCCTTTAGCCTTGTATTCGTAGACTAGTAGTTTCACTCTAACTTAGTGAATTTAAATATGTAACTATAGACATACATATAAGTATGTGC